CTCTTATACACATCTAGATGTGTATAAGAGCCAGATAGAAATGTGTATTTTTATGAATGAATGTTAAGTTGTTATATTCGAATTGTCTATATATAAAATCATATATAGATATTTATACATATATAGACCTATATATATATATATACAGAAATTTAAATATGCAGGGGCTTTCGAAATATTTGTAATAAAATATGTTCCAAGAGTCAATGGCTATAGCATTCATTTATTTTTGCATGATATATGAAGGCCTCTTCTGTTGCATTTCATTAAAAATCTATCTATTGTATTGTCCAGTTTTCTGTTTCTGGGATATTTACCATATACCTAAAAAAACATTTAATGTACGATATGCAACTAAGTCTCTAGACATCCAACTTGTTTAATATACAGTACCTGTATTGTATATAATATATAAAAATATAAAAAGACCTGAATGAAGCACCACCCTTAAAACATAATAGTGCTTTACTCAGAAGAATGAAAATACATTTGTGCTAAACCCAAATAGATAATGTACTAGACAGCTGTAAAATAAAGTAATTAAAAAAAAACGCTATGAGATATCACAATATAGATTGATACTTATTGGACTATCTATTTAAAGAACTTTTAATGGTTAAATATTTTATAGATTGTACCAAGATTTAAAAATAAAATCAGTAGAAACTGCGTTTACGATCAACATATTCGAAGGAACTGGCCTAGATTCGAAAAATAAACTAGGCTAGAAAGCAGAAAACTCGATTTTTGTACCTAAGGCTTACGTTGTAAAATCAAATTCGATACCAGCATATATTAATATTAATGAAGCATTCATATAAACAAAACTCATTTTCTCGTTTAATTTATGGTATGAAGAGTATTCTAAATTCTCCTTCCTACGACCAGCAATTACTCAGATTCTTACTAAAATTACCCTCAACGAGCCTTTTCGGTGTTTACCAAACCAGCTATGGTACGACCTAACAGTATAACGTGATTGCAGTTGTACATGCATATAATAAAATTCAGGTGTGATACCTAGGCAAATCAAGTTGCACCGTGTAGTCCTATTAACTAGCTGCTATGCTCCATGGTTCATCACTTCAAATTTAAAGAATCAGGATTTATTTTACTATAGGTATCTTTAGTGTTTAAATTATTTGGGAAAAAAAGTAGGCATATGTAGGGCTGTATTGAACATTCCCGTTTAAAGGTCACGTGACCACACCGGACCTTTTGTAAAAGCATCAATATGTACTTGTCTCGCTATAGTTCATACCGAGTAATTATCAGCAGAACACATTTATTAATGTGGTTTGTAAACTCATCCGCGAAAGGAAGCATGTTTTTGTAAGCAGAAAATGATAATTTGCCAATCATAATTCTAGGAAATTATCTCCCCAATTAAATAAATTTATTAAATGCAAATAATGAATGTTTATGAGTGCAATGAGAAGAATATCGTCATGAGTTGAAAGGTTGACTGGAACGGAACAGTCAATATTTCAACGAATGAAAATATTCTTGCACGAATAGGCTACAAAACATTCATTATTCGTTTTATACATGGGCACAGATCAAGGGATGGGGGGACGCGTGCCCACATATTCTTAAAGTGTTTCGACCGCAATGTAATTTCATAAGTAAAGATGATGCCTGAAAGTTGTTGAAATGAACTGCATAAATGACCCAGTTTAACGGAACATAACTGCTGTAGCATGATACCGGTATCACACTAGCTAACGTCAAGTTACCTGTAATACACGACTTTCATTTTCTATGGTACAATACAGATTAATTAGATCTCTAAATACTCAATTTCAAAGGCAATGTTTCTAAGTTTTATTTTCTATGGTACATCACACATTATTTGGATCTGGTTGCCGAAACTGGCTGATAAAATATGAGAAACTTGTATAGGCACTTGATTTTGACTATAATGATGATGGGATGATGACGAATTATTCTACGTAAGTGTCATTTCCGGCCATCTAGAGGTCCGGGCCTACTATTTCCCCAATGGTGGGGCTGAGATAGGTGCGGACTCAGTCTTTGAAGTAGGTAAAGTAAATACAGCACATCAAAGATAATGTTTTTAACTTATTTTCTATGCTGGGGCGGATGCATGGGGCGGAGGGTGCATACGGTACGGTCGCACCCTCTAAATTGCATTATAATTGTTGTATTGTTGATTATTATCATTATGAACATAGTACCGGTTGAATTTAAATTATGAGAGTGCAATTTCCGGCACCTAGAAGTCCATATTCTCACAATTTTCCCAGCTCAGCCCCAACCATGGTGGGACTGAGGTGATGGTGGACTCTCACGCACACCCTACCTCCAAATCCTGCATCAACCATGGTGCATCGCACAGGCTATTTAGATCTCTGATTGCCGAAAATCGCTGATAAAAGATCATGAGAAATTTGTTGGTGCTTCATTTTGACTACAATGGTATAATGTGATGATGACGAATTTCACTATACAGGTATAAGAGTGTCATTTCCGGCCATCTAGCTTTACTATTTCTTCAGAATTTAGGGTGTGGGCTCAGGGCTTTGAAGTAGGTAAAGTAAAGTATTTACATCAAAGAAGACAATGATTTTAAGTTTTATTTTCTATGGTACATCACACATATTAATTGGATCTCATGGTTGCCAAAAATCGCTGATAAAATATCATGAGAAATAATGGTGATGTGATGATGATGAATTTTACTACTGTATAAGAGTGTCATTTCTGGCCATCTAATGGTACTATTTCCTCAAATTTCCATTTTTTCCAACCATACGTGGCGCTGAGGTGGGTGTGGTCTCACGTGTGCTAAAATTTGATAACGCGCCAATCAACATCGTCAAAATACCCCTAAATATGGTCATTTTTCAATTTTTTTTTGCAATAACTTCGCTCATACTTGATCGATTTTTTTTTTGAAAAATTGAAACGAATCGAAATTAATAATCTTTACATCGATAAATCATAATTGTATTCATGACACATTCATCGAACTTTTTTAAAATTTTAATCAGACACACTCGTGTTTTATTTTTCAGCGTTAAAACAGTAAAATCGCCTAGCCGTCTTTAAGATAAATCTCTTACAGTCGAAAGTCGATTTTCACCTGGAAATTTAGGTCTATTCGAAAGCATCATTGATTTCTAAATCATATTTAAACATGAATATGATTGGTTCAGTAGTTGAACCAGGGAGTTGTTATTTAGATATAAATAACAACTCCCTGGTTGAACATTGGACCAATAAGAGATTTATGAAGTCCATTGAAAACTTCTCCCATTCTTCACCCAAACAATTCCTCAACCCAAAAGAAAATTATGAACTTATATAACCTGCCAAAAGGTCAGCCGTTTTAAATGAACAAAAACTTAACTGTTTTAGTTTGGTCGATGTTAATTTTTACACGGGGACGAAATGAAATCGCCCCTGGACCGATGTGCTCCAGATCAAACGCATTCGTTCGATTTTGAAATTCACGGTGAACCATCCTGGGCGTACATTTTTTTTTTTTTTTTTTTAACTCAGAAAGATTTTGGGCGGCCGACATTCATTTTTACTCGTGGTAAACACTGTACTTTACGCCCCAGGTTGTTCCCGGAGGGTTTCTTCGATTCACCGGGGTCCATTGTAATGATCCATGGGCCGCAAAATAGTAAAATTTGTGTTTTATGGTCTGCTCGCACTATTATTCGAATGCACACACACGTACACACACACATGCCAAGTTTTTGGCAGAGCTTCCAGAAGCTGCTGTAGCCTACTTTCGCCTTTTGTTAAGGCCCTAGGCATTGGCTAAGTAGATTGAAATTATATTACATTATTAATAGAGAATTCGTTAATAGGCATGAATCAAGCCTAGCTCCCACTCAGCCTAGCCAGTGCCTATGCCGTCCGGTCCGTACGGCTAGACTCTAGCTAGGCCTACCGTACGGCCCTACTAGGGCCTAATAGTAGCTAGACTAGGAGATCTAGGTTAGGCGGCCTGGGCCTAGAGAGCTAGGCTAGGGTTATGTCCGTTTTGGCGTAGGCCTAAAAGAAGTAATGTATAGTAGTAGAGTAAGTAGGCCTAGTTACTAGTAGTAGTGCTGCCTAGCTAGAAACAAAAAAAAATTGAAATGTCCCAAATATTTTTTTTTTAATTTTTAATAGAAAGACATAACTGAATGAAGCATTTTAAAACAAAAATTATGTAAATCTGACCAATATTAGCGGAGATATTGCTATTTTAAATATGTTTTTTGCTGGAGTTAAATTCCTATTGTTTTTTATTATACAAGAAGTGTGTCCCTTAGCTTACAGTATAATTATGTTGCATTTTAGGCCATGTTAAAATAATACTTGACAATTACTAACGATTATAATTTAATATTTTAGTATATATATTTATATTAGATTTAATAATTTTTATCAACTTATAGATTCTACGTATAATAAATTATATTGAATCGCATAACTCTAGGCCTAATTGCAGGCCTCAGACAACACGGTGGCCAGCGGGGAAAACTTTGTTTACCCCGCGTGTAGCCGCCACAAATTAACGAGGGGGCCTTCTATTTGTACGAGCCGAGCCTAGCTGCAGTACGTGATAAGACAATAGAATTTTATGCCATCTATTTCAATTAATATGCACACAAATATTACTTAAAACTTACTTATCGCTCACAAATGTTATTTAAAACTTACTTATCTTTATAGTTTAAAAACTGAAGAAAACAAACATGTTAACCAAAAAACTAGCGAAGGTTTCCTTTTATTATTGAAAATCGACGAAACATTGGTTGTACTAAAAAAACTTCTACTAAATAGATTCGCGCGCTTAAAAAGTCAATAACTTCGTCCAGAAATCATTTCTGGAGTGTTATCTGGAAGTAATTCGGTCAAATTGTTGTATACTTCCGCGAAATGCCCAATTAATACATTAGATATCCTATGTCCATCAGGGCACTATTTTCTATCGCGATGTTTGTATTGCCGATCTATAGCGCCCCAGGCCCGTAGCCAGGGGGGTTTTTATGGTTCAGACGAACCCCCCTTTTCTAGCGCACCCCCTCGAATTTTTTAATGAGTCCCACTCGGACGGAATGTCTGTTTTTAACTTGCCCAGCATTCAATCAAAATTTAGCACCTAATTCATTATTCGGTCACCCGTTTTTAAATTGTAGCAAGCGATACAAGCCTACATTCATAGAATATCTCAGCTTCAGAAGTTCGGAGATTTAAATTGAACGCAACTCCGGCAATCCATGACTTTACGATAGCTCACATAAGGATGGCAAACATCGATAAAAGCTTTCACTGGCCTTTGGCTGAATGTTTGTAAGAAATATACCAACCAGTAACAAAACCGGTCTCCGTCTACCTATTGTAGAGTAAATGGCGCCACCAAACGAAGGTAAAGTTTTGCGACTTAATCCACCAAATGCAGCTAAAGTTTTGCGATTTTTTGATTCTGGATTGTGTGGTTAGTAAATTCCGTAGCCATACTGTCCATAGACCACACTAAACTATGTGCTGATGGAGCATTTTTGGGAAATTGACTCCTTTTTTCCATCCCAAACAAAATATTATTAATAATTCAACATGGTCCATCTCAGTCATCATAGCGAGTCACAAAATGAGGAAGTTTGACATGTTTCATTAACATAACATACACTGAGGATCGCCAACAAATTGGGTGGGTACAGTATTCAAAATTTTACGATATGGTGGACTATTTCGATTAAAATGTTCAAAGTGATTATATAAGAATTAGATGAGTCACTGTCAATAAAACAATTCGCGGAAGAGAAGTATTCAAAATATCGGTACTATTAATATGGGACTAATCAGATGACTGACGCTGTTCTCCATCGACAATTGATTTTATGTGCATTATTTATCTACAATTCTTATCTACAGTTAATACACTAAAGAATATTTACACTCACAATTTAAAAAAAGTTACCAACAACGACATCTAAATAGCTGTGGGAAAAACAAATTATCAGCCTGCTGCTCTCTGAATAGTGATCGTAACTGAACAATAATGATGCAGCAACACGCTTGGTCAACTTGTAAAAAATTCAGAGGCTTCTGTTGTTTGACCATAAAAAAAAAACATTTTTGGAGTGTTATACAGTACGATTTCAAAACATTGTCATCGTAGGGCCTAATGAAACAGCTATAATATTGAAAACAAACAACTTGAAACAAAATCGGTGTACGGATTCAAATAAATATTTACAATAGATTTTAATGGTCAACTTGTTATCAAATTTTACGACCAATT